AAATATGTATGTGTGTGTATGTAAGTTTCTAGAATTTGTGATATGAATTGTACAAAGCAAGAAGTAGAAGTTTAAAATGTCAGGTTTAGGGGGCCAGGGAGATGGCTCAGTAGAATAAGCGCTTCCCTGGCAGGCACAATGGCCTGAGTTCAATCCCCGGTTCCGCAAAAAAATAAATAAGTAAATAAAATAAAATAAAATGTCAGGTTTAAATTTATATGAGGTTAAGTGGAAAGTGTGAGGTGTGAGTACAGTGTAGGTAAGTTAAAGTATATTGCTTAAGAGCCATTAAAAAGTAAAATAGCAGAGCAGTTGTATAAGAAGTCATTATAAGATACTAAATAGAACACTAAAAATATTTTATTAATCAAAAAGAAGGTAAAAAAGAAATTAAGAACTCAAGAACAGAAGTATGTTGATATCAAATAGGCAAAACAATCAAGAAGATTAAAAAACCCAGAATAATCCAATAACAAGCAATAAAATTGCAGTAATAATAATACTTTTTTTTAAAAAACCTACCAACTAAGAAAAGCCCAGGTGGATTCACTGTTGAAGTCTATAAAAACTTAGGGAAGATTTAATACCATTTATCTCCAAGCTCCTTAATGAAATTGAAAGAGGAGTACCCTCAAAGGCATTCCTGGAAGCTAACATTAGCCTAATTCTAAAATCATACAAAGATCCAACCAAAACAGAACTCTGGACCAGCCTCTAATAAATTTAGATGCAGAAATCTTCAGTAAGGTACTGATGACCAGAATACAACAAACCATCATAAAGATCATAGGTCATGACCAAATAGGCTTTCTCCCAAGGAAATAAGGATGGCTCAACATAGGCAAATCAATACAGATTACATAAACAGGGATGGATAAAAAATCACATGATCATCTCAATAGATATAGAAAAAAACCTTTGACAAAAATCTAACATGATAAAAACACTGAAGAATGCAGGTATAGAAAGACCTTATCTCAATTTGATAAAAGCCATTGATGACATGCCTATTACCAAGATTATATTAAATTGAAAAATTCTGAAAGGTTTCCCTCCAAAATCAAGAGCAAGACAAGGATGCCTACAGTTACCACTCCTATTCAACATGATATTTGAAGCATTAGCAAGGGCAACTAAACAAGAAAAGTGATATGTAGGAATGGAAAAAGTCAAATTGTCATCTATTTGCACTTTATTTTATTTTATTTTTTTAATTTTATTTATTTATTTGTGTGTGTGTGTGTGTGTGTGTGTGTGTGTGGCCAGCTCAGCCCACCAGGGGGCGGTGCTGGCTGGCATGTGGTGCTGGGGCATCAAACCTTGGTCCCTCTGCTTTGCCAAGCTTGTTCCAAGTAGGTGCTTTAGACCACTGAGCCATCTCACCAGCCCCTATATTTGCACTTTAAATGATCCTCTACATGGAAGACCCACCAAAAGACTTTTAGACTTTAAAACCAAATACAGTAATATAGTAGAATATAAAGTAAACAGTAAGACCCATAGCATTCCTCTGCACTGGCAATGAACTCACTGAGAAAGAAATTCAAAGAAAAATGCCACTCATATTAGCACCAGGAAAAATACCTATGAAGTAGCCTGACTAATGAGGTAAAAGATGTCTGAAACTAAAATTGCCATACTCTGGAAAAGGAAATTAAAGCAGGCATGAGGAAATGGAGAAATATCCCCTTCCTGGGTAGACGGAACCAATATAGTCAAAAGGCCATACTTTCAAAATTGATACACAAATTTAACACAATCTTAGTCAAAATACCAAATACATTCTTCATAGAACTGAAGAAAATAATCCTAAAATTCAGTACCAGAAGAGACTCAGAATAGCAAATGCAATCTCGACTAACAAGATTATAGAAAGCATTATAATTGTGGACTTGAAGTTATATTAAAACTCTGGCGATTAAAAACAGCATGGTGTCACAAAAACAGGCAAGGTTCAATAGAATAGAATAAAGTATGCAGAAACAACCCCAACCACCTTAAACTATTTGAACTTTTACAAAGGGGCGTGTGGTAGACAGGATCTTTCCAAGGACAACAATACAGGACACGTAATTTGTAGTTATTTTTATAATAGTCACCCAAAGAAACATATGCAAAGTGGAAAAAATCTGTCAGACACTAAAGACCTGAAGTATCCAGCTGAGGGCCTAGGTCTTACGACAGTGTCCTGCATGAGTCCAGTCCAGCTAAAGACTAAGGCCCATGACAGTGCTCGCCACAAGTCTAGCTGGAGGCCAAGAGTACACAACAATGTCTCATGCAAGCCTGTTTCACAGATCTGTGCCAGGAAGGCCCAAAAATCGGTGGTAGAAGCTAGAAAGTCTTTGTTAAATTGGTGAAGTCTGTTTCAGCAGTCTGAGGGATCTGCATTGGAGCTAGGAAGCAAAGCTGAAAGTAAAAACCAGCACTTCCCTGAAAAGTACCACAGCCATCCTCAGGGGCAGGAAGGTCCTGAGCTCTTCTGACAATGAGAACAGTGAAGTACATATCAGGAAAGCCAGCGTGACAAGTTCCTCCAGGAGAACCAATAGCTCCTCTTCTCCAATTCTTCTTTTACTTTGTTGGCCATAATCTTCATATGGGCCTTCTATGGGTGTTAAAAGTTGACCACCAGTTGTCAATCTACCACTGAATCAAAAACATACACTGCAGGAAAAATAACCACTTAATAATGGTGTTTGGGAAAAAAAAAAGTTGTGTTTGGAAAATTAGTTATTCACATGCTGCAGAAGACTGAACCTAGACCTGTATCTCTCACCATATACTAAACTGAAATTACAATGGGTTAAATAATTAAATGTTCAAACAGAAACATTTAATCTGCTGAAAGGTAAAATATGTAAAACTCTTGAAGGCCTAGGCATAGGCAGTTACTTCTGAATAGAACCTAGTTGCACAGGAAATGATAATGAGAATCAAATGGCGTCATATCAAATTAAAAAGCTCTGCACAGCAAAGCAACTGACAGAGTAAAAAGAAGCTACAGAATGGGAAAATTTTTTGGCCAGTTATTCCATGGAGAACTAATACCTAGAATTTATAAAGAACTCCAAAACATTAGACCCCCCAAAAAAAACTTAATCAAAAATGGGAACATTAAATAGATATTTATCACAAGAAGAAGTACTAATGGCCAATAAATACATGAAGAAATATTCAGCATCACTGGCCCATAGAGAAATGCAAATTCAAACAGCACTGAGATTTCATTTTAACCCAGAAAGAGTGGCAATCACCAAGAAATCAAGTAAACAACAAATGCTGGTAAGACTGAGCAGTAAGAGGAACCCTTCTCTGTTGTTGATGGAAATGTAATCTCGTACAACCACTATGGAAATCAGTGTGGAGATTTCTAAAAAACCTGAAACTATAAATCTCATTTGACTTAGCTATTTTCCTTCCAGTTACCATCCTGAAAGAGTTAAAGACACCATATTACAGATACATAGATACATATCCATATTTACAGCAGCATGATTCATAATAGCTCAATCCTGCAAGCAGTCTGTGTGTTCATCAATGATAAATGTGATATTTATACTCACTGGAGTACTACTTTGCCATAAAAAAGGATTAACGTGAGTCATTTATAGGAAAATGACTATACCCTGAGACCATAATGTTAAGTGAAATAAATCAAACACATGCACTTAAATATAGCAAGGTTTCCCTTACATTGAGAGACCCAAATTATAAATAAAGAGTAAAATTTTAAAAAATAAGTAATAGGAAATAGGGAGATCTTTCTCAAATGGTAAAGGGGTCAAGAGATGAATGGGGCAGGAGGGTGAGAGGGGAATGGAATGAAAAGTATTAAGATGTGAATAAACACACAAGCCATGTAAACATTATTTACAAACTTACACTACATCAAATAAATGGCAGAGATTGTCAAATTATATTTTTAAAAAGCTGCATTATTTATAAAAGATACATTAAATAAAAAGATACAAGCAGTTGAAAGAAGTATGGAAAAACACCTGGGATGAAAAAAGCACACATGACAAAGCTGCCTTGTTATTAATATCAGGGAAATAAATTTCAAGGAAAAGAGTGTTCTTCATGTAATTATTGTCACTTCATATTCTTCCTGTGGACTTTTTCACTGTAGCATTAACTTTTACTTTACCCAAGATCTAGTCTTGTGAGCTTAGATAATGTTCTTTATTTCTCTAGTCACTATATTTTCCTGTTTTGAGTACTTATCCGAATCCTATATTTTAAGACCTTTCACCTGTGATAGCTCAGCAGACTAACGCACCTCCTTAGGCAGTGCACAGCTGCCAGGATTCCATGCCCTGCCTGCCATGCTGGCCCCACCCCCAGGGCACAATGAGATGTTGCTTAAGCCTGGGCATGGTGATGTGCTCCTGTAATCCCAGCACTTGAGAGTCTGAAAACAGGAGAATCACTACGAGTCTGACCTACATAGTGAGACCCTGTAGACCCTGTCCTAAATACAGAAGGAAAAAAAAAGACTTTTCTATTTGTAAGGTGTGTAAAGGACTTTAATCTTTATATATTTTAGTCATTGTACTTTTCTGATGTCACATCATGCATAATGCCTGTTAAGTTCTCAAGAGGTATTTGCTAAATTAGTGTATAAATGTGTAAATAATGACCTTGGGCTGGAGAGATGGCTCAGTGGTCTAAAGCACCTACTTGGAACAAGCTTGGCAAAGCACAGGGACCGCGGTTCAATCCCCCAGCACCACATGCCAGCCAGCCCCGCCCCCTGGTGGGCTGAGCTGGCCACACACACACACACAAATAATAATAAATAAATGTTTAAAAAAATAAAATAAAATAATGACCTAATTGCTGAACACAACATGTGTTTAAGAGACTGCATAGGTATGTTTGGAAATGTTCATAACTCTCAAAAGTGTTGGATAGTTTAAAAAGCCATCAGCAAGTAGGAAAAATAAAAACTTAAATATTTTGTATGAATCTAATAATTTTTCATTTTCCTACCATAGACCTGAATTGGTAGTCAAAAAGCTACGCTACTATGCAAGGTTTATAGTAGTTTGTCTTCTTCTCAACAAAATGGATGTTGTAAAGGACCTGGTAAAGGTAAATGTCCTTTAAAATAATTAAAATCCTAATTTCTTACTATATGTGGATAATTTTGTGGGTTTGATTTTGTTTTGTTTTTTAGCAGTACTGGGCATGGAACTTAAGGGCACCGTACAACTGAACTCTTATTTTTTGAGACAGGGTTCTGCTTTGTTGCCCAGCTGGCCTAGAATTCATGACTTTTCTGCTTCAGACTCCTAGTAGACTGGATTATGAGCATTTACCACTGCACCTGGTACTAATTTTGTCTTTTAAAAACTAGAGTTTTCACCAGGTTTGGTCGTACATGCTTCTTAATCCAGTATTCAGGAAGCTGAGGCAGGAGAATCATGGTGAGCTCAAAGCTAGCCTGGATTATGTAGTGAGTTCAAGGAGACTAGCCTAAACTATGTACCGAGACTCTGTCTCAAAAAACAAAACAACAATAATAATAACAACAGTAAAAACTAGTTTTTCAGATGGCACAGTGGCCTGTAGTCATAGCACTTTGGGTGGCTGAGACAGGAAGATAGCAAGTTCTATTCTCAGTCTGGGCAATTTAGAAACTTCAAGACCCTGTGTCAAAAAAAGGCTTAGGGCTGGGGGGGATATAGCTCAGTGGCATAAGCACTTGTCTGGTAAACTCAACGTCCTGAGTTTGGTCCCTGGTACAAAAAAAAAAAGGGCTTAGGGTATAGCTCAGTGCAAAGGCTCTGGTTCAATTATAATACTTTTTTTTTTTTTTAAAGTTAACTTTTACCCTGGTGTGGTGGTGCATACTTGTAATCTCAGCACTCAGAAGGCTGAGGCAGGAGAATCATTGTGAGTTCGAGACCAGCCTGGGCTGCAAAATGAGCTTAAGGCCAGCATGAACTACACAGCGAGATCCTGTTCTGATACATAAATAAAGTTTTGTCTTATTTTTTTTTTCTTGTCTTGAAAATCAAATCCAGAGTCTTGTGCATGCTAAACATGTGTTTGATCCCCAGTACCTCGCCAATAAAAACAATTTAAAAAAGATTAAATATACAACTCACTGCAGAGGTCCTAAATTCAGTTCCTAGTACCAGATTAAAAAATCCTTAGTTTTTTCAATTTTTGTCAAGAATGTTACAGTGCAGCTATATATTACTATGATTTTAAAACACAACCTTTTATGATATTTTAAAATTAGGAATTGTCAGATGAAATTGAAGATTATACACACCGTTTCAATACTGAAGATCAAGTGGAATGGAACTTGGTGCTTCAAGAAGTGGCAGCTTTCATTGAGGTCAGTTTTTGAGAAGAAAGACCATCATAATTATGAATAAGAAAATGACCATGGTGTCTGCTTTTGTTGTGTGGATATGTCAAGGACAAGGAATATCTTTTTGTAATTTTTGTTTTCCTAGCAACTTTTGCTTTTCTGTTTAGGCGGACCCTGTAATGGTGTTAAATGATGATAATACCATTGTTATCACATCCAATCGTCTTGCTGAAACAGGAGCCCCATTGCTGGAGCAGGGGATGATTGTGGGACAACTGTCTCTGGCTGATGCACTCATTATTGGGAATTGTAATAATCAGGTAAAGAATTGTGAAGAATTTATGCCTAAAATTCACTTTGAAAAAATTTTCATTATCACAGAATGCACTCCTTGTAAATATCCAAACATCAGTCTCTGAGGAAATTGTTATTTACATATGCCGTGTCCATCTGTGGAATATATTACTGACATTTAAGTAGTTTAGGGAGAATTTTCAATAACATAGAAAGATATTTATGATACAGTAAGTGAAAGTAAGCTTACTCCGGAGATTTTTTTTTTTGTGTGTGGTACTGGGGATTGAACTCAGGAGCCTGCCCTGGAGATTTGTAAACAGAATTATTTCATATATTGGAATATCTGTGTATATGTGGGAACAGGAAAAGCATTAGCAATGAATTCACTGACATCTGAAAGACTTTTATATACTTTTCTAGTCCAGCAAAAAGGAGCTATTTTAAAATACACTTGTCAGAGCCAATGACATAGTTCAGTGGACTAAATTGCCTGCCTAGGCAAGCTTAGGCAAGTGCAGGGATGCAGTTCTATCCCTAGCAGCATATACCGCTCCAGCCCCACTCTCAGGGTAGGTTGAGCTAGCCAGAGAGTTTGGCATAATGTCACATGCCTGTAATCTCAGCTCTGAGGAGGCTGAAAGTAAGAGGAGTACCATGAGTCCAAGCTGCATGGTGAGATCCTGGAACAACCAAGTACATTAAAAAATAATAATTAAAGTACAGTTATCAAAAATGAATTGCAAATATATTTTTTTTATTTTATTGAGAAACAAATATCAATGATACAGTTTCAAAACTGATAAATAAGACAGTTTCAATAATTAATACATTGTACGTTGTTATCTTCTTAGTGGTTATCCATAGTATAAGATGCAGACAGAATATCCTGCCCAAACACTATTAGTACAAATCTTTCTTCTCATTGAATTAAGCGGAAGTAGCTGTATATCTATCCTAACTATTCTGCATATACAGATACAAAATAGTCCTTCCTTTATATCCCATTTTTTTGTTTAGTCCTGTCAGAAATGGCTATTCCGGGGCTGGGGAGATGGCTCAGTAGAATACACGCTTCCCTGGCAAGCTCAAGGGCCTGAGTTCAATCCCTGGTTCTGCAAAAAAAAAAAAAAAAAAAAAAAAAAAAAAAAAAAAAAAAAGAAATGGGTATTCCATTGGTATCTAAATACTATAGGTGTGTAAATTCAGCAAAACAATCCAACACAGTCCAGCAGTCCACAATAGTAGTGGGTTATCCGCAGAAGTTGTTGACTAGAGCCTTTTACAGCTCAGCATATTAATATGGCTTTACTTTATATACCTTGTTTTTATACTTCTCTGCTGGATGGTTAAGACCAAGATAAAGCAATATCTATGTAACAAGAAATGTAATTTTTATATCTGATAAGATCACGGGCTGGTGAGATGGCTCAGTGGTCTAAAGCACCTACTTAGAACAAGCTTAGCAAAGCACAGGGACCGCGATTCAATCCCCCAGCACCACATGCCAGCCAGCCCTGCCCCCCTGGTGGGCTGAGCTGGCCACACACAAATAAATAAATAAATTAATTAATTAATTAATTTTTTTTAAAAGTCAATCAAGTACCCTCAGGATTTATCCTATAACCCTGTACCACAGTTTGCAGATCCTTTGTCAGTGTCAGCCATGTGGATGAGTCATGACCATTGCTTGACCAATTTGCTCTCTGAAAACCTGAGAGAATGTTTTCTCTCCATGTGACTCCTTAGGCACACGCTACATCTGCAATCACATTGTGGCCCCATAATCTCCTTGATCAGAAAATTTGGGACACAAATATTTTTTCATGACAATACTTTCATGATAATGAGAATTTAGTCCTTTGGATACTATTTGCTGTTGAGTAGGTCACCTGTTTATTTACATGTTAATAGAAATTTTAAGTTCGGATCTTACATACCTATCCTTTTTGTTACTCAAATTTTATAGTAATCCTGTTTTTTATACTTATAACAGCCATTTCCCACTAGATTTTAAAACATTTTTTGTTTGTTTGTTTGTTTTATTTTAGGGAAGGGTCTACAGGGTATTCAGGGTCTCACTACTAGATTGGACTTGTAGTGATCCGCCTGCTTACTTCCCAAGAGCTGGGATTACAAGTGCACCAAGTCTCAATTGCCTCTCAGCACACCCATCTCAGCAGGCCCAGGGATCAAACCCTGGCCCCTGAGCCTGCCTGCATGTGCTTTAATCTGCTGAGCTATTTGGCCGGCCCTAGCATAATTTGTTTACTTGTATTTTTCTAAAGGTTCGTTGTTTTTTTTTCCCCACTTATATTCAAAGAACATTTTACTACTAATGATATATAAATTTAAGCCACATGATATATCAATCAACTGAATGGCTAAAAGCAAAGCACAGTAACTTAAGATAGAATATGCTGGCAAGCTTGTACAAAAGGTGGCTATCTTATGCCTTGATAGATTTGTGAATCAGTGCATTCAATTCAGAAATGTATTAGGCATTATCTTTGTACTCTTGAATGTATGCACACCCTTTGACTAAATAGTTCCAGTAGTTTCTTGTTGATTTTTAAGAGTTTTTAATACAGTCTGCATAAAAATCTTTTATCTCAGCTGTCCCAGTAGCTCAGTGCACTAAAGTGCCTGCTTAGGCATACGCAGAGTCCAAGGTTCAATCCCACACTGTGCTGTGCTGACCCCGCCCCTGGGGCACACTTGAGGTATCAAAAGAGACTGGGTGTGGTGACACAGGCCTGTAATCCAGCTCTTGGGAGGCTGAACACAGGCAGATCACTAGGAGTCTCATCTACATAGTGAGACCCTATAGACTCCGTACTAAAAAGAAAGAATCTTTTATCACATTTATGTAGTGAAATATCTTACACTGTATGGCTTGTCTTAAATCCTTTTCTCTTATGTTAATTAAAGTGTTTGTTTATGTCTGCTATGTACCAGACTCTATTCCAGATATTGGAATTCTAGTGAGCAGACATGTTCAATTTTACTTTTTTTTAATGTATATAGGTGTGTATGTATTTACATATACATATATA